AACTACCGCGCGCCACGAAATTCCACAAAATGGCACTCACTTGATTCGGCCGATATGTGTCCACCAACAGTCCTCGCAATACCAATTCCACGGCTCAGCATAGAACGTATCGCTACATCCATAATTCAGAGCGTATCTAAGGTTGCAGATGACAAGATACACATCATGTCCACTTTACTACCTCCGTCGGCATCTACTGCATTTCCCATACTCTTGAGGCGTCCAGCGAGTTGTGGTTGTCTCAGCCGGACCGCCACTCACCGCGAGGAGTGAGTTCACTCTATGGAGTAATCGTGAGCATCTCCAATAATACCTACAAAGAAGCACATCACAACAACACCGACCAGACTCATGTTCACTCAAGCAAAATCCTCCACATATTACACGGGCTTCCTATCATCATCATTGAAACAGAAACGCTCCTATCCGGAAGATCAAAGACCTCGGGCAGTATCATCACGATTCAACTCGCCAATCACAGACCAAATACTACGCTAAGGTAGTTCTCAAGGTCTTGAACTACCCTTCCTCACTATATTATAGGTCAACTACATGTGTTGGTGACGCTATGAAAGTTTTGAGGAAATTTAGGCAAGTTCTTATTCTGAACACGACTACCAGAATTCACGTGTGAGCTTCGATCATCAGTGAGGAAACTCCTCAACTCAGCTGAGAAAACGCGCATATATTCCAACACTGCTGTGAAAATACACATACCACAATTCGCCCCACTATTCTTACTTCCTATTACACAGCTTCTCTAGCTGCTCCACGTACCATTTAGACACCCCAGCAAGCCCCCACTTAGTGACGTAGCCAATCCACGTCTCAACATCTTGCCTCAGCATTGCAGGCCCCTGCACGATTAACGACACAGGTACCCAACAGAGCGCTCTAATAGGCTTCCTTTTCCCAGCCAGAAATGCGCCCATAATTGCCGCGAGTATATACACATACCATCCCAGGGCCCCAGGCAGCTGAGCCAGGACGAAGCCTACCCCATAGCGGCCAAAGGGAGTATAATAAGCAACGTATTCGCCAGCTGGATGTATCAGAAGCCTCATGACCCAAGGCAAGAGCATAAGGCGCATGAAGAAGGCCTTCAGTATGATAAAAGGGTGGCTCAATAGTGACCACAATGGAAGAGCCAGAGTAATCTAATCAAGAACAGTGGAGTTTCACGCGAAGTAGCGTAATTCTCAGTGAAAACGCGATGTAAGCATTAGTCGTGAGATATATTTTCCACTAGTGTTTCCCATATCACGGGTAAAACTCCAGTATACGTAGAATTACATACCCATCGAGTGCTCATCCCAACGCTACCATAAGAGCAGTTCCCCGCATCCTCTCAGCCTCCACATCCTCCATAGTGTCCTCAGCCTTCTTTTCAATAGCCTTTCTATTATCAGCCTTAGTTACCGCATTCACCAACATCGGCCCGGACAGCTTCCCCGTGGCCTCACTACGTGGCAGTTCGTAACTGATAACCACAGTGTTGGAGCCTTCGACTCGGAGGAGGAATATATGCTGACTTTCCTCAGCTGAGCTCAGGAGTTTCCTCACTAATCATACAAGTGCACATATGAATTCGGGTAGA